ATCTGTTTTATCTGTTACTTTTGACAGTTTGATAATAGTGGGTTTCAGGGTGAGTCTTTTTAGGTTCATCCTAGTTGGAGATCTTCAAGTTTCTTGTATTGAATGTTCATTTCCTTCCTCAGATTTGGGACACTTTTGAAAATTGTTTATTTGAATAAGCTCTTTGCCCATCTCCTTCTTTTTTTCGGACTTCTATAAAGTGTATATTGGTCTGCTTGATGGTGTCATATAAATCTGTTAGCATTTTTTCACTTTTCCTAATTCTAATTTCTTTTTATTCCTCAAACGTCATGCCTTTGAATTCATTTACTCCTTCTTCTGCTTGATAAAATCTGCTGTTGATATTCTCTAGTGAATATTGTACTTCATTATTGTATTCTTCAGCGTCAGAATTTCTGTTTTTTTTTTTTAATCTTTTCCATAGTTTTTGATATTTTCAGTTTGTTCATGCATAATTTTTCTAATTTTATGTAGCTATCTGTGTTTTTGCTTTTAGCAAATTGAGCTTCTTTAAGATGATTATTTTGTGTTTTTAAAGACAATTTATAGACCATGGTTTCCAGTTGGTTTCTGGTGTTTTCTTTTGTTTCTCTGTTGCTTCCTATGTCTGTGCTATTATTTTTTTTCTGGGATTTGTGAATTTGAAAAAATCAGCCATGTCTCTTAGACTTTTTCTAACTGGTTTCACACAGGAAAAGAACTTCACCAATCAGCCTGGGTAAAGTGTCTCCCAAACATTTTTAGGGGATTCATCTTCTCTGGGCATGTAAAATCCCAATAGAGAGGTTTATTGGTTTCTTTTTCCCAACCTTATAATTACTATTTCCTCTGCTCTCTGACTGCAGAACTGCAGGTTCTCTAGTACTGCAATGAGCCTCTGAACCCTTCTGTGTTCTCTGAGCCTCAGGCATCCAGAGTATGCTATTTCTATCAGTGCACCCAGTCAGTGACATAGAAACCAGACCCTTGTCCACTCCCCAAAAAACCAGAACATTAGATGGGCATTTTTTGCTTTTCTTCCACTCTAGAGAGTGACTGCAAGTTTGACATTTACTTCTGATCACACCAAGTTGTTCTGACTTAGTGGATGGGCTGTCATGGGCGAAACAAAATGGCCTTTTTACCCATTTTTAATGTGGCTGTTCTTGGCTTTGACCTTAGCTGTGTTACTGTGACTTATTAACTAGTTTCTCGAGTACTCTTTAAAGCTTTTTGAACTATATATTGTTGCAAAGTTGGTATCTCTATGGGAAGCAAGGTCTGGGGTTTCTATTCCACCATCTTTCTGAACTACACCAAAGTTGGCATATATATATATATATATATATGTGTGTGTGTGTGTGTATATACACACATATATATGCATATATACACATATATGTATATATATACACATATGTATGTATACATATTTTGACATGGAGTCTCGCCCTGTCACCAGGCTCACTGCAACCTCCACCTCCTGGGTTCAAGTGATTCGCCTGCTCAGCAACCCGAGTAGCTGGGACCACAGGTGCTCACCACCACACTCGGCTAATTTTTGTATTTTTAGTAGAGACTGGGTTTCACCGTGTTGGCTAGGATGGTCTCTATCTCCTGTACTTGTGATCTGCCCGCCTCATCCTCCCAAAGTGCTAGGATTACAGGTGTGAGCCACCGTGCCCGGCGCAAAGTCAGCATATTTTTAAACAACTCCCACTGTCCTCCATAGCAATGTATGCAAGCACTGGTTGCCCTACATTCTTTCCAATATTTGATGCTCAAATATTTTTTTTCCAGTCATTCTATTGAGTGCACAGTGAAATCTTATTGTAGTTTTAATTTATATTTTCCTGATGACTAATAATAATTATTTCCATATTGTGTGATTATTGGCCATTTGCATATCTTATTTTGGGAAGCTTCTGTTCAAGGCTTTTCCCTGTTTTTCTATTGGTATGTTGTTTTTACTATTACAGTGCATGAGTTTTTAAAAATATTGTCTATATAAGCCTTTTGCCAGTAATATAAATTACAAAGATTTTCTCTTAGTCTTTGTGTAACTACATTTTTCACTTGAGGTTGTCTTTGTTAACAGAAGCTTTTTTTACTTTTATTGTTTTTGTATCCTCCCTAAGACATACTTGCCTACCCCAAGGTTGCAAAGATATTTTTTCTTATTTTCCTCTAGAGGGTTTGTTGCTTTAGCTTTTATGTTTACATTTATAATGTATCTTATATTTTTGTGCATCTTAGATAAGAATCAATTGTGCGTATTTGAATTTGTATACATATGATTATTATTTGATCATACATGTTTGGATCTATTTTGGGATACTTTGTTATTTCCACTAATTTACATGTCTATTTTTTAAATGAAAATCACATTGTTTATTATTGTAACATATCCTAAAGTGACCTATAATAGGTTCTTCAACTTTACAATTTGTAAAGACTGTTTGGCTATTCTACATCTATTGTATTGCTGCATATATTTTAGAAATAACATGCCACTTTGTATAAAAAGTGTATTGGAATTTTGAATGGAACTAAATTAAATTTATAAACAATTTGGAAATTAACCCCTTAATAACGTTAAGTCTTAGTCGATGAACATGATATACCTTTTCATTTTTTTTTCTCAGCAATATATTAGTCTTTTTAATTTGGAAGTATTGCATATCTTTCATTAAATTTACTTATATGCATTTTATGTTTTAATTTTATTGTAAATAATATTTTAAAATTTCATTGTCCATTTGTTTATTGCCAGCACATAAAATGTAATTTAACTTCATATATTAACATATTGCACAATAGCATAATTTTATTATTAATTCTAGAAAGACTTTTCTGCATTCTTAATGTTTTCCTACATATACAATTGTGTTATCTGCAAATAAGGTTTTGCTTTTTCCTTTCCAATCTACATTTCTTTAATTCTTTTGACTTTCCTGTTGCAGTGGCTAAGACCTCCATTTTATTTTGAACAACATGTTAACAGTAGACAGCCCTTTCTTTCTCCTGATGTTAGCAGGGAATAATCCAGTTTTTTTTTTTCTCTCATTAATTAGGGTATTGGATATAGGTTTTTAAAGATTTTCTTTATCAGATAGAGGAGCACTTCTATTCCTAGAACTCTGAAGTTTTTAATTTGCTTTTTTCAAAAAAAATGGATGGTGAATTGTCTCAAATATTTTGCTGCATACATTGAAATATTATGTATATGTTTTCTTTCTTTAGCCTTTTGATATGGTAAATGTTTAAAATGGATTTTGAATGTAAAACCAAGCTTGCATTTCTAGAATAAATACCACTTACTTGGTCATGATGTGATATATTTTTCATATAGTACTAGGTTCGGTTTGCTAATATATTGTTTACTTTTTTTGTGTGTATGTCCATGAGACTTGATAGTCTCTTTCTTCTTTTGTAAGTTTTGGTTGGATTTTTTTTTTTTTTAATTTATTTGTTCACTCCAACTAAGTTGTCAATTTCTTTCATGAAGTTATTTATCATGTCCTCTCATTATTCCTTTTAACATCCGTTAGCTCTCAGTAATGACCCTTCCTTCATTCCTGATATTGATAACTTGTATTTTCTTACTTTTCCTTTCTAATTTTTTTTTTGCTATGGGTTTATCTGATTTATTAGTGTCCCTAAAGATCTGATATTTGTCTTAATTAATTTTGTTTATTATTTTCTCTTTTCTATTTAATTTTTTCCCAGTTTTATTTTTATTATTAATTTATTTTGTTTGTTTGTTTGTTTGTTTTGCTTTGGTTTAGTTTGCGCCTCCATTCTTAAGTTCTTAAGAGCATTAAGTTTACCTACCTTCCTTTTGTGTATGTATTTAAACATTTAAATTTCACTCAAATGACTGCTTAAGATTCATTCACAGAGTTTGATATGTTGTATTTTTATTTTGTTCAGTTCAAAATGTATATGCTTTAAAGTAATATGTATATACATTTGCTTTAAAGTAATACATATATACATTAAAATGTTGTAGAAGATACAAATGCAAATAAACTGCACAAGAAAAATAACTAAAATAACTAAAACATAGTGTGATATTTCTTAAGGTTTAAAGGTTAGAAAAATTATATCCAGATCAGTATAGCAAGAAGGCCTATGTTTCCCTTCTTAGTTCCAGGAAAATTACAGAATGTTAGAGTAATAAAAGAGAGGAACAATATCATTTTTTTAGCACATTGACTATTATGTAAGTACTGTTCCCTATGACATATGATGTTTGAAATCAAGTATAATATTTCAAATGTAAATTGAGAATCAATTATATTTATGGGTAATATTTATAAACATTTGTAACTTTAAAAAATATCTTTAGAAAAATCAAGTAATCAGAAGTCAGGAACTATGTATAGTAATTGTGACTCTAATACTAAACTGGGAAATCTTAGAAAATGACAAATCTTTAAGGCATTACTCATCTTTAAAAAATAGATATTAGTAAGTATCTCATTAAAATCTAATATGAAGTTTTTTCATTGCAATTATACAAAATTTGATAATTTTAATGATTACTTGAATACAAACTAAGAGTACCTATAAAAACAGAGAATATGCAAACATTTTTGCATCATGGAAAATTATAGTTTCTAAGGGTAGGATTTACCAGTTGGTTGAAATACGACATTAAATAGAACTTTGTAGACAACCAAAATCTTGCATTATTGTAAGTATGGTTTCTAAAAGCAAGCCACTTTAGTTAATCAAACAAAATAATACTTTTAATAAGGCTGTACATTTTCCTTAATAAAGTCTTAATGTTTCTGAAATCAAAGACAAATTTTTGTGAGTCTCTTTTAGTGCCCAGATATCTGCAGTCACTTGGCTTACTTGCAAAACTCTGGCTTTAGTATAACTGAAATAAAATTGTATTGTAATATCTGATTTACTTGATATTATTGAGTATCCTTGAAAGTTTAATGGAATGCATAAGTTTAGAAGGGTATAGCATTCTCACCAGTGGAATATTATGATTTTGTCTCCTGCAGGTGCTCCAAGTGACCAGAGCAGTGGCACCTCCTCTCCTCTCTGTGACAGTGGCTTACATCTCAACTACCACCCCAATAATACAGTAAGATGACCCAGGCACGGCTCAGATTAATAAGGAGATAACACATAGTTTGTAAAAACTGCTAGTGAATCTGATTTATGTGATAGATAGGAAATCCCTGGTTGCATAATCATTTAAGTATTATGATAAACAAGAAATGGAAAATAAATAGGTCAGGGTTTTTATGCCATTTTTTCCCCTCTCAAGTCTGTACGGATTAAGTTCTTTTTAAGCAATAGATACTATTAACTTGGGGAGGTCACTGGGAATGTATAATATCATACAATCAATTTAGAACATTGCACATTACATGTGATTTCAGGTTCAAAATGCTTTGATATTAGTTTTACCACTTTTTTCTTTTGAAATTACTTAACTAAAAGTACCTATTTAATTTGCCATTTGTTAGGAATTTTAGCCAACTTTACGCACAGTAAGCAATTACTGCAGTGAGAAAATTCGATTCACACATTATTTTAACATGTAATGAACGTTTATACATGTATTTAGTAAAAGTTAAAATTAACCTTTGTTTTGTAGATATTTAATAAAATTTTAATCTTTGTTTTCTACTTGCATTTTGAGTAAATTGATTTTAATATTTTATAAATAGTTTTGAAGTTCCTTGTATTTCATCCTTCAAAACACTCACACATTCTTTAAGAAATAATTTTTTCTGGTTACAAGGACATCTAAAAATCATCTTGCATGCTTACAAACATGAAGAGAAGCAGAGGTGACCTTAAGCAGAATTTTTTCGTTCTATTCCACATACTATGGTACAGACGTCATGTAGTTTCTTCTACCGACTCGTATGATTCATACTGCATTTGAAATTTTTGTCAAAATAGTGGCATTTTAGTTCAAAGCAATCTTTTTGAACATCTTCAGTCCTGAATGGCCTTCACTGTACCTGATTTCCCCAGTATTACTCTTCCGCTGAGAACCTTAGGCCCTCAAGTTGTCGACTTTTTTCCGTCATAAAAAGACATTTGCCAAGACAAAAGGTTATCTGTACAACTGTAAGGATATTTTAGGATATTTTCTAAAACCACCCTCAGCTGGATATATTTCATGTGACCATCTTTGAAACCATTTTTTTTTTGCCAGAAAAGTAATTGCCACACAAAAAGGGGCATTTAAAACCACAATACAGCATGACGGGAGTGACTTAAAATTTATGAGGAAATGTACAGGTTTCCTAATGAAACACTTAGATATACAATGAAGTTTTTTACCTCTTGATTTTGTAATTGCTGTGCTCACCTTCTTCCCTCCCAATCTAGATGCCTTCGATAATTTCAATGCACTTCTGGTGCACCTGCCCTCAGTAGCTGGAGGTGTTGGCTGTGCCCATTCACAGCTGATCCCTCTTCTCTGGATCCCCTTTGCCTGGGAGTCAGAGCTCATCTGGGTGTTGGGCACTACATGCCCTGCTTCCATCAGTCCTGAGAGGTTGCTCCTGAGAGTGACCCTACACATGTCCCTCATACAAGAATTTCCATCTCAACTCTGATCCTAAGACAGAAACACGAGCACACTTACTTCAGAGTGGGAGAAAGCTGTTTGGAGCTGTTTTGTTCTAGGTCTTGTCTCATACCCTTGAACTCCTGTATAATAATGAGAAGCAGAGGAGTCCGAATGGCAGGTCTAAGGGTAGAAATCATTCTGGTTTGTCTTTAACCCATTCCATTGACATATAGAAAAATGTGTACAGAATAATGTCCTTCCTTAGAAAACTACAATTACAGCAAGAAAATCACTCCAATTCTATAACATGTCTGATCCCAAATAAATTCAGTTTTATAAAATTAAAAATAAAGCAACTGTTACAAATTCCTCTTACTGGAGCTATGTCTTCCCATTTCCAGAGGCACATTTTATTAACCTTTGAGCATTAGAATTGAACATTCTTTTGACATTGCTGAAGATATTTCAGTGTAAGGCAATTGAAAGTATTTATCATGATGCTATAGAGAATAATAATAAAAAATATGGAAACAAAACAAAGTATATTCAAAATAAAGACAAAAGTCTCAATACATATCAATTAAATGCATTTTTGTTGAGAACTTACTCTGTGGAAACACCCCTCCATTATACTTTGGGGAACAGTTAATTATGATTTTAACACAAGAACAGTAAGATCCAGATCTGTAGACCAAAGCATAAAATTAACTATAACATAAGCAGAAAAAAGAAGAATGAGTAGCAGCATTCTAATAACAGAGGTAAAGAGCTGTAGAGACTTTGAACATCTGACTAAAAAATTCAAAGTAAGTTGAGAGACTACAAACCACGTGTGTGCTTTGTTGCCCACACGGGAGACTAACCTGCAATGGTAATCAGACCATGCAGGCTTGCACAGCCAGGGAGAGCACGTGCTGTTCCTTCTGTATCTTGAATAAGCTTTGATAGAGGAATGGCGAGTGGAGAACACATCTACTCAGAGGTGTCCAAAATTTGGAGAGGTCAAAGACATGAAATAACAACAGACAGTGAGCACTCGGAAGGAAGAGTGCATTGTGAGGCAAGTTTTCTTTCCGCAGAATACGTGTATATTATAGACAGTCTGCTTAAAAGAAACATTTGATTCTCTGATGTGTCTTAATTCTCAGTTCTATCCTAGGCTCACAAACTGCCTTTTCAATGTTTATACCTTGATCTGAAGCAAATTTTGAGTATTTATTATTCTGGTTTTCTAAGATGTCCCTACAGTATTTTAAGGCAACATTTTAAGTCTAAGGGGAAATAAAGGATTATAATATATTAACATCATTCCACCATCCTACATAAAAATATCATCTATTCTTTCTAAGGATGCACAACATCACTAATTTTAAGGGATATGAAAGTCACTTGTTTTGCCAACCCAGACCTTGGCTCCTCAGCCCCAGCCCAGATTCACTGAACTTCTCTCTTGAAATGGAGTAGAAGGATTTGTTTTGTCCTTACCAGAAGATTCTGATTCAGATAATCGGCCAAGCAGACTGAGAAACATTTTTCTTAACTGTACACTTTTAATTAATACATCCTATGCTGCCAAATCCTTAATAAAATCTGGGTCAGCAGTTTGCCCTGTGTGCAGTTCTGTTTTGGTAAGATAGTTGTTCTTGAGTTTATTGTGTGGCATGTGTAAAATTTTGAGAAAAGAGCAAGGAAACATAAATGCTTCTTTTTCCAATCACATTATTAATATTTTAGGAAACAACGTTTTTGACATTGTAAAGTAGAGCTATTGAAAAACAGTCATGGTTCTCAAAAGCATAAAAGTGGTTGCGTTTTTAGACTATCTTTTGTGCAAAAATAAATCTGACTGCTATTCCAAAATATGATCAGAAAGTAAATTTATATTCTATTTACATAAATAAAATAAGTAAGGAGAAAAATTCTTTAAAGGATAACTTATCTTCCACTGTAAATAACAGGTCTATAATATGAAATATATCAACTCTGTTTAGTCAAATAACTGAAGAGGGACTTATTACATATTTCTTATAAACAAGAAACATAAGAAAGTGACATATTTATACCTTTGGTACATAAAGGCATCAATCAAGATGCCACAGAAAGAATGTCAAAGGCCACATATATTTCCATACTTGCCAATCTATGAAATGGACTGCTATGGTTTGTAAAACCTACCATATTCATGTATTGGTGATTAGTCAGTCCCCAACATCTCATTATCCATGCCTTTAACAATCTTCGACATATTCTGTCCCATTTATTGATGAAACACAAAATTTGAGGGAAATTATTATTGTATTTTATGAAAGATGAGAAATTATCTTTAAATAATATACTTGAAGATATATAACCAAAATGTGAAATAATCAAGTAAAAAAATCCAAATTATTTTCCATTGTTTCACCTCTGATTATGAGTGTTGAATGTTAAATGTGCTGCAGTAGATCTGTTGGCTCTGCTATCAAAGAGCTGTTAGTCTAAGTGAATCTTGGGGGTGCCCTTTGCTGGCTGGGCAACTTGGGTAGATTGTTTACTATAGAACTCAGGAATGCATGTGTGTACTGGGGTTCTGGGAAGGAGTTTCAGTCATTGCCAACATGAACTTTGCTTTGTGCAGCTGGGTGGGTCCTGGGCTACTTGCAATCCCTGTGGACATCTCTGACCTGGCCACAGAAACCTAGTTGGTTTACCCAAGCCTGCCACGCAGTATTATTGCTTCCTCATGTTCCCTCATGATGAAAAGGTGAGAAGTAATAATAAAATGCTTCTTAAAAAAACCTTCTTGGCTCACACCTGTAGTCCCAGTACTTTGGGAGGTCAAGGCAGGCAGATCACTTGAGGTCAAGAGTTCAAGACCAGCCCGGCAAACATGGTGAAACCCCGTCTATACTAAAAATACAAAAATTAGCCACGTCTGGTTGTGGGCATCTGTAATCTCAACTACTTGGGGGGGCTGAGGCAGGAGGATCACTGGAACCCCAGTGGCAGAGGTTGCAGTGAGCTAAGATCATGCCATGCACTTCTGAGTGATAGAGTGAGACCCTGTCTCAAAAAATAAAAAATAAAAATAAAAAAACCTTCTGTTTTTCCCTTCAAATATGAACATAGTAAGAGCTTTGTTTTCAAAGATGTTGCAAGTGGTGTAAGTCAAGCACTTAGTATAGGCAGGTATTATTAAAACTACTATTAAATAGTAACAGTAATATTCCTAAAAATGTCCTCCCTAAAAGTTCCATGTTTAGAAACAATTTTGCCCATTATTTGAGCTTATTATTTTTGAGAATACATTATTTGATACTTTTTACTTACAGCTACCAAGCGATGCATCTAATTAGTTTGTTTTAGTAAATGTTAAATTACCTTTAGCCTTTTAGGTATATTGAAAATAGTATGGAGCTATTTAGCTGGGCTATATTCTAAGAACTTTTTCATTTGTTGCCGTAATCTTACCAGTTGTTACCATTATTATCCCCACTTTGAAAATAAACACAGTAAGACAGAGACTACAAAATTTGCCCCCAGGTAATGGACTAGTCAGCTGGGAAATCGGTATTCAAACATAAGTGGTCTGATTCTGACTTGCAGCTTAAGCGCTCGCCACATTGTACTGTTGCCTAGCTGACCCCATATCATGCGCTGACCACCTATAACAGCTGACATAAAGAACTGATTCCGTGTCTTGAACTGACCACGTATAACAGCTGACATGAAGATCTGACCTCACGTCACATGCTGATCATCCATAACATCTGATATGAGGCCAGGAGAAAGAATAATATGAAACCTAGGTTTGTGCCTTTGCAGTCACCAGAGAGGCATTCAAAGCAACTGGCTAGCATTGAAGGACAGGTGTCTTGGAGGCTGAGGTGCTCACTGAGTCACTAATAGGGACCCCTCACTAAGTGATCTTAGCCAGTCCACCCTTCCAGGTATTCTAAACCACTCCACTCACTTAGTACGTTTTTGTTTGCTCAATCTGAAACAATTAACATAAAAATGCCGGGCAACATACAACCTTTAGTAAAAGTAATACTATTTTTCACTGGAAGAATTGTTAAAAAAATTTAATGCCTGAGAGAAATGCTTAATAATATTTAGACTTCACAGAGTTTCAATATCTAGACTAAAATAGAATCTTCTTCCAACATTATCACTCAAAAATTAGTGAATAAAGGGAAGTCAATGTTACCAGTTTACTGGCCAAATTGAGCTTACAACCCATGTCAATTTGAATATTAATATTATTTGATGTGCTGGTGTGATGAAGAAATTTTAACATTAAAGTTGAAATAAACATGAATCAAGTGAAAAAGCCCAAATTTTATCAAATGTAAGTCTCCTCCATGTAGAAAGGGAAAAAAAAAAGTTCTAACAAAACTTAAGATGCCGGGCGCGGTGGCTCAAGCCTGTAATCCTAGCACTTTGGGAGGCCAAGACGGGCGGATCATGAGGTCAGGAGATCGAGACCATCCTGGCTAACCCAGTGAAACCCCGTCTCTACTAAAAAATACAAAAAATTAGCCGGGCGCGGTGGCGGGCGCCTGTAGTCCCAGCTACGCGGGAGGCTGAGGCAGGAGAATGGCGTGAACCCGGGAGGCGAGGCTTGGAGTGAGCTGAGATCCGGCCACTGCACTCCAGCCTGGGCGACAGAGCGAGACTCCGTCTCAAAAAAAAAAAAAAAAACCTTAAGATATGTATAATTTTAAGCCAACAATAGTTGCCTTGATATGCAATTAAAACAACATAAGAAAGTATAAACTCTTTAAGAATATGAAGTTAGAAAAACGAGCACAGATTTCCTTGAGTAGTGTTTTGAAAGTTGTTTTATAGGAATGATCATTCTATTCAAAAATATTTGCAAAAAACTGATAAATTAAAAACACTTATAATTGTGCTTGACACTCATAAAATACTTGCTAATTGAATGAACTACCAGTTATTTTTATTTTTTCACTTATTGGCTAATTATACTTACAGTTTTTTTCCCACTTTTTCCATTCTTGAATAAATTATGTTCTGTCACACTCTTATCCTTTCCTTCCATCTCCACTCCTCATTTAAAAATATGTTTTCACTAGCATTCTTAGTCTCAATAATTCCTTTCTTAACTTCTTATAGCATTCTATTAATAAATGAGTTAACCAATACAACTTTAGTGTCCGTAATATGGAATTCTCATGGTATTCCATAAAAGTCTTTTGATCATTTAGGGGAAAAATAATATCCCCCAGATGAAAGGGGTTTGGGACACAGAAACTTAAAGCACAGAAGAAAAACATTACATTTAAATATTTGTCTTCATTTCAGGACACATTATCATGCTCGTCGTGGCCGACATCTCCAGGCTTGAGGTGGGAGAAGCGATGGTGCGACCTCAGACTGATCCCTCTACTACACTCACGCTTCTCTCAGTATGTGCCCGGCACAGATTTGAGTCGGTGAGTCCATGTTTATGGGTTACGATTGTTTTGCTTATTAAAAAAGAAGCCTTTTAGGAAACCTTTTAAACATATCACAATATGCCTTATGATTTTAGTATATTTTTTATAGTAGAAATAAGAGCTTCAAAATAGTATTCTAACAAAGTTAAACACTTACTATTCTGATGACAAAACCGCAAGTTAAAGCCCTGACTCTGCTATTAACTTATTCTAATGGATTCAATGGATTCAATAGATAGTTTTGTTAAGTTTTCATATTTCCTCTTGTGTTGTTTACTTCTCAAGAATATTGCATAGTTTATTTATTTATTCATTCATTCATTTATTTTGAGTCAAGGTCTAGCTATGCTGCCCAAGCTGGAGTGCAGAGGGGCGATCTTGACTCAATGCAACCTCCACCTCCTGAGTTCAAGTGATCCTCCCACCTCAGTCTCCCGAGTAGCTGGGACTGCAGGCACATGCCACCATGCCCAGCTTTTTTTGTTTTGTTTTGTTTTGTTTTTGTAGATATGGGATTTCACCATGTTCCTTCCCTAGTATTGAACTCCTGGTCTCAAGAGATCTGCCTGCCTTGGCCTCCCGAAGTGCGGGGATTACAGGCATAAACCACATGCCCAGCGGCATAGTTGGTCTAAATTATAAGATTTATTTTCTGCTTTTAATATTCTTATATTATTATCTATTTTACTAAGTGTAAGATAAGTAGTGTCCTCCTTTTCATTCTGGAATTTTTTTTTCTCTTTTTATCTTGGTCAGTTTTGCTAAGGAGTTGTACATTTTGTTAATTTTTTAAAAATGATTAATTTGGGACTTTCTTGGATCTCTTAACTTATATATATATACTTTATGAGCCTCTGCTTTTTCCCTGATTGTTTCCATTTCTTAAGTTTTTCTGCTTGAATTTTTGTTCTTATTGCTTTTTGAGAGATATAAGTTCCGGGGATTGGGAAACTTTTCTGTAAAGAGCTGTATAGTAAATTTTTTTTTTTTTTTTTGAGACGGAGTCTCGCCCTGTCACTGCAAGCTCCGCCTCCCGGGTTTACGCCATTCTCCTGCCTCAGCCTCCTGAGTAGCTGGGATTACAGGCGCCTGCCACCGCGCCCGGCTAGTTTTTTGTATTTTTTAGTAGAAACGGGGTTTCACCATGTTAGGTTTCACCAGGATGGTCTCGATCTCCTGACCTCGTGATCCGCCCGTCTCGGCTTCCCAAAGTGCTGGGATTACAAGCTTGAGCCACCGCGCCCGGCCAAGAGCTGTATAGTAAATATTTTATGTTTTGCAGGCCTTAATATCTCTGTCACAAAGTACTCAGCTCTGCTGTTCTGCCACAAAAATAGCCGTATACAATATATAAATAAATGAGCACACCTTTGTTCCAATAAAACTTATTTACAAAAACAGGTGTCAGGCTAGATTTGTCCCATAGGCTTTAGTTTGCGAGTCCATTTTGATAATTAATTTTAAGATTTATTTTTCCTAATATATATTGCCAGATCTTCCCATTTCCAGCAAATACTCTTCTAGTTACTCCTGCAAGTTTAGCATCACCTCTTGACTTATTTATAGTATTTTTGAGTATATCACTTTGCATAGTTTTCTGACTGGTTGCTCGAGGTATATGTGTAGGTAATGTATCCCAGTCTACTGGTAACGTTTTACCACTTTGAATGAAGTATAGAAATGTTGCTTCCATTAAGATTCCTTTATCTTTCCTGTTTATAAAGATATTGCCTTAACTTCCTACACATACATCAAACACTATATTGGGTGGTATTATGAATTTTGCTTCAACCATCAAATAAGATTTTAAAAACTCATAGAAAGGATAATCCATTATACTTAACCCAAAGTGTACCCATCAATGATCTTTCTGAATTTCAAAGCTTCTTTTACCGCTTCCTTTCTGCTTAGATAATTTTTTTAGACATTCTTTAAAGGTAGATTTGCTAGCATCTAATTCCTTTAGTTTTCATTTATCTTAGTGGACACAGACTTTGGAGTTGACAGTTCTTTTCTTTCAGTAGCTAAAATATGTTAGGCATTAATGTCTACTGTCATTCAAATTGGTGTCCCCTATAAGTAATATGTTCTTTCTCTCTGCTTTGAAGACTTTTTTTTCTTTTTTTTTCAGTTTCAGAAGACTAATTATGAAGTATGTTGGCACATATTTCTTTAAGTTTCTCATAAATGGGCTTTATTCTGCTTCTTAAACCTGTGTGATTATGACTTTCAGCAAATTAGGGAAGTTTTGACTTTTATTCCTTCAAATACTTGTTTAGCCTCACTTTACATTCTCTCCCTCTGGATCTCTGTTGATGCAAATATTAACCCTTTTATTATTGTCCTGCACATCACTGAGAAACTTTTTAAGAATCTGTTTTCTTTCTGTTAAACAGTTTGGGAAAAGTTTATTGATCTGTATTTATGTTTTCAAATTTTATTTCCTGTCATTTAACTCTGCTCTTCAGCCTATTCATCATTTTATTTTTTTTTGATTTATTTTTTCAGTTCTAGTTTATCCTTTTAAAAATAACTTCTTTTTTAAAGTTTTTAAAAACAATTTTATTTGTTTCAAGAAAACTTCTAATTGCTTATTGAAGCATTTTTATGATGGTTACTGTGACATCTTTGTGAGATAATTTCAATATCTCATTCATTTCATTGTTAGTATCATTAGTTCTTTTCTTGTTCAACTTGTGATTTTCCTGGATATTGATGTGACAAGTGATTTAACAAAATCATTCTAGACTTTGGATATTAAATGTTGAGATGTGGGTTCCTATTTAATCTGGGTTTTCTTGTTGTTGTTCTTATTCTTCTTGTTGTTGTTTTTAGCAGGCAATCTCTTTGTTGTGAGGACTGCATGGGTGTATATGTTAAGTTTCCTACTGCACCATGCTGACACCTGGAAAGGTAGATGGACAGGGTCATTAACATTTCTTGGTTGCTAAAGGTTGGAGGTAGAAGCTCAGCTCCCCACAGAATTCTACTGACATAAGGAAGGAGGTGGATGGATAGGAGAGGCCAACTAGCTCCACCAAGTACCACCTCATTCCACCGTGGAATGGTGGGAGAGACCCAGCTCCTTGCTGGGCCACACTTGTCAGCACAGAAATGGAGGCACAGTACTTACTTGTCCCATCTCCCACAAGCCCGTTTAGTCTGGTTGTTGCAGGTGAGTATGATAGTTCAGCTGTCCAGGACACCCCACTGACACTACCCTGGCAGGGAAATTGGAGCCTGCTTCTTTAAGGTGTGGGATGGAAGACCAGCTTCCTGCTAAGCCCTGCTGGAAACCTTGTGAACAGGGAGACAATGTATCCATTGATATTTGACTGAATTTGGGCAGGTGTTGCCAAAAGGTTTTGTTTTGTTTGTTTTCAGTGTACCCATTCTCTAGTCCTTTAGAGTAACAGGTTTCCATTGGAGGCTTTATGTTTTTAAAAAATCTTGCTGTTAGCCATTCAGAGGGGAGGATGCAGAGGGTCGGATTCAGAGGGTCATGTCTAGGACATGCAGGAGGAAAAGCCAGGGGACTTAGCACTTTTTTTTATCCCTGAGCTTGAAGTCCCTAGTCATTCATGCTTACCTGTTCACCTCACAGGGGCTTCCCATACTTTTGTCATGTTAAGTGTGAAGTTCTTTAGTTGCATCAGGAAGCATCTGATAAGAATGAGGTCACTTTGTCTTGGCCAAAATAGGAAATCCACAAATATTGATATTCATATATTTTAAAAATTCATTTGATAATGTTTTATTTTTGTTATAATTACTTCTTTGACGTATGGACTATTTAAAAGTGTATCATAAAATTTCAAAATATTTGTGGATTTTCTAATTATCTTTTTGCTATTTCTATTTAGTATAATTTCATGCTAGATGATTTCAATCCTTTGATAATTGTTGAGGCTTGATTTTACTCAGCATATATGTTAATTTGGGAAATGTTCTATATGTATTTATGAAGGATGAGTATTGTAAGTTTTTTAGTGCTTTGTTGTACATATTTCAAGTAGGTCATATGTGTTCATTAGAGGCTCTGATCCTCTGCATCAGTCACGATTTTTTCCAGTTTATTGTATTAGGTTTTATATGAAGATGGTAAAGTGTCCCACTATGATAGTAGATCTGTGTGTTTCTCTATATTGTTGAGTGACTGTTTACTGTTTATATTTAATTATGTTGTCAGATACAAGTAGATTTAGAATTTTTATAAATTCCAGTTATATGATGCCCGATAATTATGACATGTCCTATACCTTTGGAGATATTTCTCACCTTTAAGTCTATCTATATTAGGATAAATAAAAAACAGATTTATATTTATTAATATCTACTTGTATATTCTTCTATCCTATTATTTAAACTGTTCTTAGTCTTACTGTACAAAATGTGCTCGTTCTGCATTAATATATAGGTATATATACACATCTATATATTATACATATATTTGGAATATTCTTTTTTGTTTTTAATCCAAAGTAACAAACTTGGTCATTAAATCAAATTAGTCTACTTACTTTTAATGTAATTACAGATATATTTTGAATATACCATCTTATTTTTTCTATTGAAAATCCTACTTTTTATGATTTAACCTTTTATTTTGAAAAAAAAATGTATATTCACATGCACTTGTGGGAAATACTATTTTCATTTACTCTTTGCTTATTATCCCAAATGGTATCATGTTGCAAAACAATAATACAATATCCCAACTGGAAAATTAACTTGAAAAAATTCACCACACAGATTTTTTTTAATTTATTATTATTATTATACTTTAAGTTCTAGGGTACATGTGCATAACGTGCAGGTTTGTTACATATGTATACTTGTGCCATGTTGCTGTGCTGCACCCATCAACCCATCAGCACCCATCAACTTGTCATTTACATAAGGTATAACTCCCAATGAAATCCCTCCCCCCTTCCCCCTCCCCATGATAGGCCCCGGTGTGTGATGTTCCCCTTCCTGAGTCCAAGTGATCTCATTGT